TTAACTTTTTATCTTAAAGGTGGTAATGTATTTTGTCCTTATTACCAAATTATTTACTGTTTTGTGGTTGAGTAATGGTTTTCACGCTTAAATGTGTGAAATGCTGAGTGCTAGAGTTTCAAGTCAAGACATGACATTAGAAAGAGGTTGTCATAGTGAAACAGTACTCTCCAGTAAACAAGTTTAACCTAACTAATCACATTGAAATCCTGAATTTTACAGAGTGTATCCACTCATCCCAGGTGATAGCTGCTTGGTTCTTGCTTCTACTTAAGTTTTGGATCTTCTTTTAGTTTCTGACATACAGCTTGTGTTCTCTGTTAGAGCGTGAAAGTAAAGCAATTGCAAAATTCCCATTGATTTCAGTCAGCTCAGAATATCACCTCATCAAATAATTATTTTCAAGTGGTATGTATACATAATGTATTGATCTACTGGCAATAGCTAGTGTTTCCTGCAACTCCTACTGATTTTTTTTTTTAATGTATGTTATGTTTCTGTTTTGTTTTTTTTTTTGGTCAGCAAATTTATACCTGGTGTTAAAAAGCCTAGAAAACTCTATGCTTTTAGAACTGGGGGAGTTGAATATAATATGCTTGGCTAGGAGGTATATGGAAAAGGAAGCTATAAAGTACGTTGCTCCCACATTTGATAGTCTTCTGTGGTTTTAATCCAGATCTCTCTAATTAATTCTTTAGTTTTTAGGAAGTGTGCATGCTAATGTAATGTCCTCAAAAATCCACCTAGGGGAAACTAAAAAAAATGTACTACGAACCTTCAGACAGTAATGCTAGTGGTACTAGTATGCTAGGATGCTTTGTCATCTATCTATGCCTGTAGTCTAATGAACTTCAACTGGGGCTTCAGTGGTCTAAAATGCTCGGTGTCTTCAAAGATCAGCTAACACTGAGTAAAGATCAATGTGTAAGTGCTTTTTCTTGTGTTGTTTCTGGATAAAGTCAACCTTAATTGTCTTAATCTGAGGAACTGTATAGGAGGTATTTAGTCCTGAAAAAAAGCAGGCAGAAATTGCTGTGTCTCCTGACTATTCTGCTGTTGACTAGGAAGCTTTCCTTACTTGGAAAACATGGAAGGTCCTTAAGCAGATATTTACAGTGGCATTTTTATTTGCAGGAAGGTTATAAACTCTATAAATTTGAAAAATGTATTTGTCAGTATTCTCTTCATTTTAAGGCTAAGGCAGCTGAACTCTTTAATTAAAAGCAGAAAGCTATGAAAAAGGCACTTATGAAATAATTTAGTTTGATTCAATTTATCTCTTATAGAGAAAACTTTGTATGGAGAACAGATGGTAGTGCAAAATAAAGGCTTGCTTGGCACACAGCTGGCTGACCCACAGCCACTTCTGTACTGCATTGTACCAACATGTGTTTCCTTCTGTTGCACATGTAATACCTCTTGTTAGGGATGGACCTGGTAGTGGAGTAATGCTTAAGAAAAGCTTAAGATACGCACAGACTTCACTGCTGTTCCTCTTGTCAGTGAGTACAGAACATCCTAATAACTTTTCATATGTGTAAATGAAAGTGTTTTTTTGTCCTCAGTCAAGTCTACACTGACTCTTTCTGCTATTCACTTTACAAGCTTTCTGTTGTTTCTATTCTCTTAATTCTGCCCTTGGACGCTATTTCATTCTTTGATACAGAAGCAATATAGTTTTGAAAACCTGCAGCCGCTGCTTTACTGGGACACAGCCTGCTGTACCTTGTTGGCCCTGCACTCGGTTGAAGCGGCAGAATAACGTCATTACTGTAAAGGGCCCATTTTTCAGAGAACTTTCTGGCAGTTTCATGTCCCTGATCTTGGGCTTTTTGTGGCTCATCAAAAAACAAACAACCCTTCTATCCCCCAAAATTCTGTAATCAACACCTGGCTATGATGCCTAACACTGAGGTGCTAATTGGAAGCATAACTGAAAAGGTCAGGCTATTTCAAGACAAGAACAGAATGTAAGACTAAAGGCAAAATTAGGCTTGGGGGTGCAGGAGGGGCTAGAATAATGAGTCGAAAAGCTGCTGCAGTAATTTAACATTCTTGAAAAGTCCTCTGGGCTACAAGTTCACTTTTGACCTTAGTTTGTACACCTAGGGGACTAATTTAGTACAGTTTTTCATACCACATTAACTAGCTGATGTGTATAGCACTAAGAATTTAACAGGAAAGTAAACCTGCTCTTTTCTTATAGGTATTTTGGGCATATGGCAGTAGTCCCTTTTCCTTCCTCTTCTGACAAATTGGGAGTGACTTTGATTTTTGGAAACATTTTTAATGATGTGCCTTTGATGTTCTGTAAAACCACCGAGTTAAAAATTAATACAGCCCTAAGCAGTCATAAACTATGTTTCCTCCTACACAACATAGCAACAAAATTGTTTATCATGTTTTACTCTATAATCATTATGGTTTTGTACTCCTGTTCATTTTGGCCCTGATCCTCCTTCTTCAATACCTAGTGGAAAGTTCATTCAATGCTTCTGCCCTAGTACTTGCCATAGAAAATGCTGGGGAATTTTAGAAGTAATCTTTGAATGAAGGAAGCTGGCTAGAAGTTATAGGAAAGAGAAAACATTAGACTGCTTTTATCTCTTAAAATATGGTCAACAACTTGAGGATTATCTGTTCAAAAACAAACCACAGAAATTAATACTGTTTTTCTTGTATTTCATTGATTTTAATTTGATCTATTGCATCTGAGGACAATATCTATAATATGAGCTTTTGGAGGGCTTTCATCCATTGCTTCTTGAAAATACCCCTAGTAACTCCTCATGTTTAATCCTCTTGTGCTCTGAAGGACACTAAAGCTTTGTTTTGCAGCCTGTGGTAGCATCATGAAATGTGATGAAAAAAGCAAGAAGCTCCAGCTGCTAATAATACGGGTATCTGGAAAACGTTTTTAAAAATAGGTCCACTGAATGTATTAAAATAAAAGGCTAAAGGCTTTGCAGGTGGATGATCACATTATATATGGCTTTTTCATAAGTTTCAATGCCTTGCTAATGAGAAACTGATTTTCACTTTCAAATCCATTGCAGTCATTTGGAATACAGCACAGTGCTTATAGATCAAAATATGTATATAACTGAAGGAAGAGCTATCACAAGCTTGTTTGGCAGACTTTCAGGCTTCATTCTGTATATGTGTAGTGGTCACCATAAAATGAATGGCTGTAGAATACTTAGGCAGATTTCAGACTTAAAGAAAAATCTTGACCCCATGAACAGAAAAACTTTTATTGACCAAAGCCAAGTTTTTATTTGTTTGGGGTTTTTTTGACAGTTTTCTCTTTTCCCTGGAGGGAGATCCTGACGTAATAAATGTGTGGATCCATATTCCAGCACTCCATCAATAGCAGACCAAACCTGACAGGTATAGCCTAGGGAGGAAAGAGAAGCCTTCATAAAGGCTAAGTAGCACAGCCTGAAACATGAAATAAGACAACTTGAAAAAGCCTTTAAAAACAGGGAAGGAAAAAGCAATATATAGCTGCCATATAGATAGGAAGAATCGAGTATTTTGGTTTTTTGGGAGGCCCCAGTAAATTAACACTAAAATCTTGTTTCAAATGTAGATTGAAATATGGAAATATTAACCAAACTTTAAATAAAGGCATAAAGGTTAATATCTTTAGCAAAACTGATTTTTGGGTAGATTTATTGATTTCTGTCTGTTGGTAACTTACGCTTTTGTAAAAAATGTTTATCCCTTTAGAATCCCATTTTTGATGTTATTGGCCACATTTTCTTTCTGCTCTTAGCTCTGAGGCTCCAGGGAGAAACAAATATATTTCCAATGTATGGGGAGGCTGTAGCTGTGGTTATAGACTCAGAGTTGTCTTCTCTAGGGATGCTCTGTCTCATTGCACATAGAGAGAGATGAGGTAGAGCCAGTAGAGCAGAGATATATGCACTGAAGTCTGCCATGGAGAAGATAAGTAACTCCACCACTGGCATGTGGATGCACAATAGACCATATGTAGCTCTTTTGTATTCTCCTGAGGAGTCTGAAGAGCTTTCTTTCCCCCTTTGGCTTCTATAATAAGAGCTAAGAGTACTCATGAAGGTTTTGCACATGTGATTAGCTCCATATACACAGCATACCCTCAAAATACCAGCACTGTGGGACAAAAGTATGCCTGTATGGATTTTCATAAGAGAATTGATATCTCTGTCCGTATTTTGGTACAAACCATTTGGTTTGCAGTTCTGTGCTACTGCAGCTGTTAACTTTACTGATGCATGAGGATGGGTTGCCTCTGATGGCTGAATGTAGCTAAATTTATTCACTTAGTTTAATACTCCTAGTTTTATACATGTGCAACCCTGGACAATGAATTAGTCTATTTCAGTAATACATACAAGTATGAATAATTTTGCATAACAAATGCAAGTTTTGCCATACTTGCTAAAGTACCTTAATTCCACCTGTGAGATGCTTTCTTTGGGGGATGGAGCATAATTTTCATGGAGTGACCATTCCTAAGCTAGAAAATTACCTAGTAGCATAATAGCACTAACACAGCTCTGTCACTGAATATTTATTTGGACTGCACTGGTGTTTGACATGTGTTACTTAGTGGGAAGTTTCATCTCCACTTGTGGCCAAAGTGGAAAGATAAGTCTTCTAGCCAAAGTCAGGTCAGAAGAACGATGGAAATGGAGGCACAGCAGGGACCTGAAGAGATGTTCTACTGTAGCTCTTACGCTTGTACTGCTGGAAACTTGATTACATGTCCCATCAGTCACATGATAATTATATACAGTTGCACACATAGTTATATACCTGTATCTAAATCATGGTATTGAGCATTCCTGCTCTAATTGATAGTGTTTCATAGCAATATTGCTTTGAGGGTGGATGACTATCCAAGGTATCAAGGAGAAATCAGGCTGTAAGTGCCAGTAATTCCAAGGGCAAAATGCATAATCAGGTTTGTTCTAACCACTTGTTTGGTTGTTTTGTTTTTTTTTCCCTAACAGAGACAAGGAGCCGGAGCTACAAATGGAAAAGACAAGACATCTGGTGAGAATGGTAAGGATAGACTGTATTTCTTGATGGAGAATACTGAGTCAACCTGAGCCAAAATATTTTTACTGGAATGATAGGTGTCAGGTAGCAACTGCCGTGTTTTCATATCTTATCTTTTGTATGTGTGTTAAAAACTGGATGGGCTTCAGTGGGGATTGTTTTCTTGATATTTGTATGTTCAAATCATCATCAGGTAGAAACCCGATTCTGAGCTTGTATTATGGTAAACTAAAGGACTCTGCAGAAGGCAGTGCAGATAAAATGAGGGTAGAAAAAGTGTTAAATATGTGTGAAAAAGACACCAAGAGACATGGTTAATCATTAGGAGCAGCTGCTATGTGAATGGGGGAAGGTGAACTAAACTAATTACAAAGGGCTTGCTCGTAATCATAGTTGCTGTGGTCTGATTGATCTCACCTGATCTTAGGCCTATAACTAAGATACCAAATTTAGAAGCCACTTGCATAGAGCTCATTTGAGTGTTGCTGGAGATTAGGCTGTGAATGGAGCAGTTCACATGGAAGGACCATATGGCAAATAGGCTCTTACCTTCGGCACTCCACATGGGCAAATCTGGACACATGCTCCACTGCTCTAAGGGGTGAGTTGTTTTTTTTTTTTGGACTTCTACAAAGGGGCTGGCAGGAACAAATCTCTGCCCCTTAAGTGATGCAAACAATTCTAACAGGAAAAGGTTGACTTTTTTTTTTTTCAACTGAAGGAAGTTAAACTGAATTTTCAGTGAAAATGACAATTGTTTTTTAGCTGAAATCTCCTTTTATTTCCTATAGGAGGCAGAAATGCTTTACACACAAATGATGACATGATTAAAATCCAGTGACCATCAGAAACATTTTTGAAAGGAAACCATTTTGATCAGCTTTAATTATATACCCAGCTGAACATAAGGCAGCATCAGTTTGTAAACATTCATGAAAAGGATAAGGATTTGAACTATACAAATATGCTCTCTGGTTCTGTTTGATCATGCAGTTCTAATTAAAATAATGTTTTGGTAGTCTGTCCTGTGCACTGAAAAGCAGAAAGAATGCAAGTAACTTCTCTGAAAAGAGAGTTTTCAGAGATGGGATATTTAAGCAGTTATTTTGGATATACATTTTGGCTTTTATGTGTTGGTCTGAATAGAATTTTTGGGCCCTTTGAGGCAACACATCCTATAACATTAAAAGACTTCTTTATGCTTAGTTTTCCTATTACAGAGGGGTGACTTTCCCATAATGGCTGTTTGCATATTGTTGCAGTAAATGAAATCCGTAGACGATGTTCCCAATATGATAAACCGCAAATTAGAGTGGAAAAAAGAAATAAATATTTTGGCTTGTTATAGTGTCTTGAATTAGTGGGAACAAATGTACCCTGACAGCAAAGCTATTTGCGTTCTCAAGTTAACAGGAAAGGCAAGCAAGCAAAATTATGTCAGCCATTTGGGCAGCATGGGAAGCATGTTTTTCTGTTTACTGTTTGAGCACATTATGAACTGAGCTCATTTGCCTTGAATTTCTTCACAAATAAAATTTTCCTGTTGTCAAGTTTAGCTTAGATTTACTGATCCTGCAGCCTCTTAAAAGCAAATTCTTTATTTTCTCAAAGGGAATTTTGACGGAGAAAGGGCTGCATCATTGATTAACAAATATATATGAATCTAGTTGTAGATAGTTTTTTTTTTTTATATATAATGTAAACAGGTTGATGTGCAGTTAATCTTAGACCAACAGATACCAATTATTTTTTGTAATGAAATTATAACAAAAAACCTGTCACCTACATAAAACAGAGGAGCAGCAGGGGAGATGGAATAGAGTCCTCTGATCTCCCCAATTTACATGCTTGCATGAAAAGAAAGCAGAATCTAAACTTTGAATCTGAGCTTGAATTCTAAATCAAAGAAGCAGAAACGTATGGCTCTTTGTAGTTAGAACTCAAGTAGAAGTGATTTATTCCTCTGAAAACTGGGGTTTGCTGTACCCCTACGTACACATAACAGGATTTATTGGGTTTTTTGGCCTGAATTCTGCATCATTGTGGCTGTTATCGGCCTCTTCAGATGTTTGCTTTTCTGTCAAAAGGAAGCTTTCCCTCTTGCTGGAAATAAGGGGAGCAGGAGGAGGATCCCAAACCCCTTTGATCTTGTTAAAAAGAAAAAAGAGTCATGCTATGAAAACGTTTACAAAGGCAAACTAGTCTGGTCCTTGCTCTTGATTATGAGATCAGGAAAAGTTGCTGAAAACTAGCCTTAACAACAAATAAAGACTATTAGCTGTGTTCAGTGTTTTTGATCCACACAGTGGAGACAATGCTATGGGTCAAGTTTATGTGCGTGGTTTGTAGAAAATGAATTTTGAGTCCATCTCAAGGCTGGCTCAAAAATGAAGAAAATAAAACTAATGACCATGGCAAAAAACATTCTCCCTCTTTGAAGACATGTGTGGCACTGCTATCACTGTAAAGCATTCAGGGAAATTAAATCTCTGAATATTCCTTTTAAAGTAGTGATACTTTTGGTGAACGCTTCTGAATGCATGTTCTTGTTTGACCTTCGTTAGATAGCGACATCATATCCTTAGCTGTATTTTGTTCTTACCACCACGGCAGTGGTCTCTCTTAGCTAGCCTCCCTTCAAGTGGAGGGGAATTTTATCACACAAAATGCAGGCTCAGTCCCAATTTCTACTGAACTGGCATTGCCTAGTTCTAGCAGCCTTGCTTGTTGGCTCAGGGGGATGAGCAATGGAACAGGCTAAGCTTGAGAAAAGACAGTAGCGTGGAGCAGTGATATGCCCACAGTACAAGAGCTTGTGATAATGGGAGAGGAAAATCCCATACATAAACTATACTGGTTGTCATGTTGGTGAATGGACTGTTGTACCTACATGTGACCTTCATTCATCAGCAGTTACCGTCTCTCAGCTGCCTTCTTGAGTAGTCTTCCAGACTGCTAGGTGGTAAGGTGTAGGAGACAAAGATTCTCCTCTTTCAGAGCACTGGTTATTAGCAGACAGGATTCCTTTCCACTGTATTTTGTATAATATATATGACCACATCTTCTTTGGTTTTGTGCAGCAACAAGCCTGGTAGTTCTTGAAGCTGTGTCATTATTAAAAATACTGAATAATCACTCATATTGGAGAAACTACTCACTGAGAGTTTTCCTTTTAGCCTTCAACGATGCTGGTGAAGCCCTAGATGACATTTGTCTATCTTGACCTTTTAAACAAGTTGTAGCTTGTCCTTTGACAGGTTATGATAAAAATCAGATGGCGATTCATATCTTCCTAAGGAAGAGCGACTGTTGCATTACAATGAGGTCTCATGGTACATCAGTGAGTCAGGCTAGTGAAGTCAATGGAAGAGCTCCTGGTGGCTTCAGTGGGCACTGCATAATGCTGAGTGGCTTTTCCATCCAAAACACACTATATTGTTGTCAGAGAAGTCTAAGTAATTTCATTCTATTGTCAGAGTGGAAATTGCAAAAATATTACTGGGAGTAAATTACATAAACTAGTTTTCCTGCATGAAAACTGGTCAAAGGACTATTTTTAAAGAAACACCACTCTTGTAATTAGCAGTAAAACTAAGTCTACAGAAGTACCTGTATAAAAACAACTTGTACACAACCATGTAACTATAGCTGTCATAAATCACTGGGTCTTGAAGGACCTCAGTCTGTCTGAAAGCCAAGACATACTTACTTGTGTATGCTGTGAGGAACTTATAAACACTATAATGCTTTTTGGTATGGTAGAAAATCCCAAGGGAAGAGAGCAGTACTGTCCGCATACACTCTCTCCAATATGAATCTGACCTGGTCTAATAGAATTGACGTGGAATAAGAAGGTATAATTTTCTTTTTGCTCACCAGATTTGATTAATCTGGTGTATCATATTTGCAAATGCATCCTAAATGAAAATAGGAAGTTTCTACCTTACTATTCTTGGTACCTTGGCAATGTCACAAAGTTCCTTTGTAGGCTAACACTTGTCATTTCTCATTCTGTTTCACATTACCCTGCATTTTTTGCTGTGTAATTTGCAAGCTGTTATCATACAAGCTACTTTACAGCCTAGTGCAACTGGCAGAGAAGTAATTGCATCAGAACCAATTATTTCTATCTTCAAATTTAGAATCACTCTTTTTCCTATTAATAGATCTCACCCTTTCTCCTGAAAGTACATAAGGCCATGTGATTCTTAACTGATATTTGTTAATAATTTTCTCAGAAAATCAGACATCATTCAGCAATATGAATTCTTATAATAACAAAATACATATTTTCCTATGATGAATTCTATAACTTCCTGGGTCTGAGTGAAATAAAAAATAATAGGTATTGCATAAACTTAAGTGTCGTGGTGGGTGAGGCGTACACAATCATGGCAAAGTGGCCAGTTGCATTGAAAAGTTGAAGCCTTTCTTTTTCAGTTTCTACTCATTCTCAAGCATTTGTCTTGTCTGTATATGATCTCTATTTTGGGATGGTCAGGAAATTATAAATGAATAAATGCTTTGCATTTCCTTCTCTCCATACAGTACATCATGGGATGCCCCTATGTAAGGATAAAGGAGCAGTAGAGTTAATAATGTAAATTCTTATCTTTTATATCAAAAATGGAATAATCTAAATTCACTTAAATCTGAATGCTTCTAGAAAACATCAACAGTAATGGTAAGGAATTGGAAAACATTCATGCATGGTATAATAGAGATGTCTCTAGTAAGCTTTCCTGGTAGATGGATATGCATCTTGCAGTGCAATCAACAGTCCATTCACCCATTTCATCTACTCAAGGAATTTGGGAAATTCTTCACTCTCTGCACACTACACTGAGGAATAATGAATCTTGCTAGGTCCGACAGAGTGAATAATCATCTTCATAGTTATTTATGCAGAGTGCTTAGCTTAATAGAGCTTTAATTCCTGGCTAGAGGCCAGGATCATTATTGTAGTAAGGTCTAATATAAATATCTGTTTAAGAACTTAAAAT